AGCCCGGTTTTGGGGCCCACACTTCGGTGCTGTACAATTACCTATTCATTTAGACGATGTCATATGTTCGGGAGATGAAACAAGCTTATCTCAATGTCTGGATAATGATTGGGTAAACATAATTGTGGTCATTCTGAAAATTGTTGGATTATCGTGCTCACAAGTATTTTTTGGAAGAAGTGCATTTAGTAAATAGATACAATCTTCTATTTTCAAACGTGATTAAAACGTGATTTAAAACGTGATTTTAAACATAAGAACTATCTGTTGCTAAATGGCCCCATTTGTTGACAGATGAGAAGGAAAAGAAAATCTTGCAATGCGGTTATTTATCGCTTAAAGTATCCAAATCCAAGTACACGATTCTTTGCAAAATTATTTATTTTATGAGCAAAACAAAAACATCTTAAAGCCAAAATTTGGCTTCAAAGCTCTTTGACATACTGTCTAGATAAAATAAGCAATTGTTCTTGAACCCCGTAAACCCAGCCAAAAAAAGATGGTATGTTTCCTTCTGATGTACCACATGCTCTAAAACACTTGTTCACCTGGTTAAGGTTAAGAATCAATTCATTCTGTCTAAAGGGAAGGGCATCTACTTGTCGTACGTTGATTTAATATATACAAAACAAATTTCATAAAATGTTTCTCTAGATCCTTTGCCAAGGACACGAGAATTTTTTTTAATGTCTAACGATATGAATTTCTACGAACCATTTTTGTATTCCATTATACAAGTAGACAATGTGTAGCGAGCTATAATCACAGCTTTAGTGAAGGGACAAAAATGAATATGTTATATTCCTCATTTCCTACTGTTTCATGCATTATTGAACAGAATCACGCATTCATATTTGTGCACTGCTCATATATTGCTCTACACATGTCTGTCTGTCGATCAGTCGGTTGATCGGTCTATCTGTAGACCAAACAGTGTATGACCAATAAATTAAGAACCCCTGATTGTACAAATTTTGATCATGTTTTAGTTCTCTTTGGCAAAGGTAACGGTCACATTTTTATTTTGAATAAGAACGTTCAAAAGCAATAGACCGTTCGCCCTCAAACCTTATAGATACACTGGTCTTTAGGTCAAAGGGTCAAAGATCAGGGTAATAATGACATTAAATGTCATAATGGTTTTTAAACAATAATAAAACTTGACAAGCTATGGGCCCTTAAATTTCACAAGTGCTTCATTCTAGGACAGTAAAAACACTGTTAATTATGAGTAAAAGGTTCAAAGGTCATTGACATTGTATGTCAAAACGGTTTTCAATCAATTTCTCAACAATCCTAAGCCCTTGATGATAAAAGACATTTAATTTAGTGCATATATAAAAAAGGTTCATCAAAGACTAGGCCTAAGCAATCTTTACTGGTACATTGGTTTGGGTTTAACTTTTGGTGACCCCTATTGATTTTGATGTCAATGGGTCATAGGTCATTGTCGCATTTGCTTTGTACATGATGTATTTCAAAACGGTTTCGGATCAATAACTCCACATCCCAAGTGCATCGGTTATGGTCAGTAGATGACCCTATTAATTTTATGGTCAAGGGGTAAAAGGTCAAAGTCGCATTGACCGTTTTTGTCAAAAGGTCTTTTTGTGTCCGACCAAAAACTCGACAATCAATAGACTAGCGGTTATTAAATTTTAAAGGTTAATTGATCCTGGCCAGTACATTGTAGATAACCGCTATGAGTTTGGGGTCGCAGAATCAAGTTCAAGGTCACAATGACCTTGTATGTAAGAAAGGTTACTGATTAATAACTCAGTAACTTGTAGATGTTTGGCCCTCAATTTTGACAGGTCGCATTGTCAAAATTTAAGGTAACATTGACCCCATCAAAACGGTTTTGGACCAATAATTTGACAATCCCTTGGTCCTTGCCACTCAAACTTAACAATCATTGCCTTGGTCATGGGCATAAGAGAACCTTTGGGCCTCAATGTTATTTTGAAATTGTACAAAAAAAAGGTTTCCAAGCAACATTGCATGCAACTTTGGTCAGGCTTACAAGATGTCATACATGACTTAAAAACATCTCCTGTTTTGCTATAACTATAAGTAGACAAAGATATCTGACTTAAATTTATTAAGAAATAAAGTGTAATAAATTACTTTTCATCTGATTATATGCAACAAATAAAATATCATTGACGATATTCAGTTATTCGATTGGTCAATGGGTCACATCAATATGAAGGGAGACTTGAAGTATGGAATAGAGGGCAATGGGGAACAGTGTGCGATATATATTTTCATCCGCTCTCTGCAGCAGTTGTTTGTAGGATGCTGAAATATCCAGAGTAAGTAACAAGAAAAAATAACTATCTATTGGTATGTAATGTAGTATATGAAAATGTAAATGTCTATTTCAAATAGATTAAGCAGAAAATTAACAAGAATATTACATTTCAGTTTCACCAAGCATGTGGTTAATCATAAAATCAGAGAAACATTCCAAACCGGAAACATAACACTTGTCGCGAAACCGTAAAGTCTTAACAAATACGTTTGTTTCTGGTAACCCCACTGACCCTCTTGTTGTTCCGCTGGTCGTACCTTTTTTATAGACATTAAAAATCTATAATTTTACCGACCGGATGAAAAGGAGTTTATATCGTACGGTAACAAAATGGCTGCGTTCAGGTCATTGTTGCCGAAAAAATGATGCGTGATGTTTATCAAGGAGAAGAAATAAACATTATAATTGAACTTATTTTTAACTACATCATCGTCTATGATGCATTTGAATCATTTTACAACATGAAGTATGCAAGGCAGTATCGTATTGAAAAGTTGAAATAAGCAAATCCAAATCTCGACTTCAATTTAATGCAATGACATCAACTTCTAGGGGTTTATTCGTTAAAGTAAAATTACCTGTTTTGTTGCGCTTATTTGTGACATATGACACATTTATGACATAGCTGTGAAAAAAGTATAAGTTAATCAGTATTTTGCAAGTTTTTCCTTTCTTTAAATGCTAGGACTAAAATGTGTTGAAAGGCTTATTATGCCTCTTAAATCCATAATCATTAAACTCCTTAGAAATGGCAAACAACAGTAAAATAATGTTTAAATAATGGATTTAGAGCATATAAGATGTTTAATAGTAAATCTGTAAAAGAAAGCACTGTTGAATTTGCAATAATGTGTCGTAAAGCTTAAAAAAGCAAAATGTCAAAAGTTGTATTTTGACCTTCATACAAAATACGAACTTGCTAACATAAAAGTAATTGCGAGCAATGCAAAAGAAGCAAAGATAATTAATCTGTTTGGAAAATGTGTTTCTTGTTTTGAAAGATGTACCAATATTAAAAAAAAAAGATTAAGGTTTTGAGAAATTTAATTTATTTGATTTAATTATATTATGTATCAATTGTTTATTGAATTTTAACCTTGCAAGTTTTTTGGTGATCGTCTACCTAAAACATTTAGTGTAATTGGCAATAATTACAACAATAATAATAATAACAACAACACATGTTGTATTTTTCTTTATCTGAACTTCAGAGTTTAACAATATCCTAGAACCTTATTATTAGATACAAAAAGGTAGTTATTTTATTTATAGATCTAGCTTTAAATTTTGCTACGAAAACACAGGTAACTCATTGTTAAATACAACATTGTTATTCCTTATTCTACTTTACGAGAAAGTGCACCTGTTATAATCAATGCAGTTATAAACACATTGACTTAGCGATGGTCAATGACTTTCCTTGTAATGCCTATCTTGAGTACAAATTATTTCTCGCTATGTTATAACCAAACTATTGTAATGATAATCGTAGAGATCGCTCAGCATGAATGACAGTAAATCGAATTCCAGCCAGTTATAACACTTTATATAACAAATTATGAAATATGTAGTAATCATTTTTAAATATGTAAAGATTTTCTAACGTTAAAACGTTATATTTTATAAGAGTTTTATCTGAATTTGGAAACAGGAGTAAAAAGCTAAGAATAGTATTTAGTGATCTTACTTCAGATATTGATAAGCCATATTTAATCGTCTTAAGTTCTTTGTAGCATCATGTACGAGAAGTAATAAACAAAATAATATATTACCTGTGGTTTGAACATTTTTATTGATTTTAAATTTATTTAGTTTAATTAACTAATTGTTTGTTTTATCAAATATTTGTTATAAATATACATGCGTAAGTTTTTTTCAATTAAAGATATCATTATTTTAGGACGAATCCACAGGTATTCCGGACAGCACTCTTTGGAGCTGGACAATTAAAAATGCATCTACACAATGTTGGATGTAAGGGAAACGAAACAAGCTTATTTCAATGTAAACATTTTATAGGGGAACATCGTGATTGTAACGTTATTAACACTGTAGGCATATCGTGTATACCAGGTATATTTTCCTTTATCATAAACTGTTTCTGACAATTTATCGCATGTTTGAAAAGAGCGCTTTAGGAGTACCTTTGACAAGTGTCAAATTCGTCATACGGGTGTGTTAAACATGCTGATGTGTTTGCAAATTTATCACGTATAACAAATGTTCGTAAAAGATAACGTTTATGTTAACATGCTTGATATAAATAAATATCTAATATGCCTTCCATCTGGATTAAATCTGAAGAGATATTTCCTTATTAATTATAATTTATTATAACAATTTAGCTTCCCCTTTTTGTCTCACGAAAGGGTTACATGAGGAAGGAAAATTTGTTCATTATCTTTATTTACTCGTATGCAAAAACAAAAATCTGAAAAATCATTTAAAAATACTGCTTTTATTCTTGAAGTACGATTGGCTAACGGGTCAAATCAGTATGAAGGGAGACTAGAACTATGGCATGAAGGCTCGTGGGGAACAGTATGCGATGATGGGTTTGGTACGCTGTCAGCGAGTGTTGTTTGCAAGATGCTGGATTTACCAGAGTAGGAAAAATGATATTATGCGTTTGAATAAATTAACCGAACGTTTTTTTTTTTCATGCACTAATATCATACATAATTATACATATATATATATATATATATATATATATATTATATATATATATATATATATATATATATATATATATATATATATATATATATATATATATATATATATATATATATATATAATGAGTTTCTTTAATAAATTCAATTTGAGATATTCGTATGTAATAGAAAATCAACATAAAATATACACACACAAAAAACCCTTAAAATTGTCTAGAGGTTAGTATTTAACTTTTAAAAGTTGGAGTATGTTGTTGAAAAATTTTACTTTTATCCTTTTGTATTCATAGTATAAAATATCAATACTTATATATTTAAACGATATGTGACTAACACATAAAATCTCGACAACAGTTTATTTAAACAAACCACGCTGACATTTTATAACAATAACACCTGACAGACAATGTCAACACCAGTTTATCAAAAGAACACCTGGCTAACATATCTATCAGTTAATGAAATAAGCTCCTGACAAACATATATGATTTCAACGCCGGTTTATGAAAATAACCTGTGACAAAATTACATACTTTATTATGTGATATCAATATCAGTTTATGAAAATATCTCTGATAAACATAATATTATGCGTTCTCGACGCCATTTAATGAAAGTAAACCCTGATTAACCTATGTGATCTCAACGCCAGTTTATGAATATTACCACTAATTAACATATGTGATGTCAACGCTAGTTGATAAAAATAATACTTGACCGACATATGTAATCTCAACGCAAGTCGATGTCAGATTACGAAAATAACCCCAGACTAACGTCTGTTATATCAACAATAGTTAATTACATTTACACCTGACTTGCGTATGCATTTTCAACCAACAGTTATAAAGATTACATGTGGTTTACATGTGTATTCTAAATAAAAGTTAAGATTAATAACTTATACAGCACAAACTTATAAATCATACATTATACTGATATATGTAATCTCAATACGATTTTATAAACAATATTCTCGAGCAAAATTATCTGATGATATAATAAAGTTATACAGCAAATAAGCGCGTATTGTATAATTAAATAAATATAAACAAAAAATCTTTATGATCATTAATGTACAAATTCTAAGAAAACACGGAAAGTGCTATAGGAAATTCAGTTATGAAAATAATTGTTCATAATTGTGTTCGCAGAAATAATTGCTTTAAATTTGCTTTTACAGTATAGATATTTGATTAACATGAAGTGATGGTGAACACAAATTGAGATTTGCAGATATTTGTACAGTATTTCAAGACAGCTTAGTCATCATAGTGCCTTAGTTTTTTTCTCCATGACTGAGTTTGCAGTTTGACAGATTAGGCAATGTAGATCATATTCATGCGCATGAGATTAATCATGACATTCAAGATATATTGTAAAAATAATACCTACGTCTATTGACAACCATAATCATACTTATAAGAATATGATTTAATTGTATGTCTTTAACATATTCATAATATCGAATTCTAAACATATTTGCCAATATTCGATTATCATTTGTTTCAGAATTATAGTCAATTTATTGATTAACGTAATGTTACCATAATTTTAGCCTTGTCTGACAAATTCTCCACATAGATTCGCCATTTACTCTTTGCAGACCAGTGATATGCGAGTGTGCGGTTACCTCTCCGATTGCTATATACATCGCTTCATGTTTCAAATAAGCGTTGCTAGGCTTTAGAAAATAAATACATCTCTTTTTTGCAAAATTACTTACGTCACAATAGTTATTTCGCTACTTTTTTTTCGCTGCCATTTTGTTCTAAATTATCACAATTGTTTGCATACATATCCATATATACACGCGTTCCTTTTATTTCTAACATTTTATTATCCAGATTTATCGTGACAATCGCTTTTAAATTATTTATAAATCCTCTCAACACACAAATCGCTGCACAATTTATTCATTTGCTTTTTATAGAAAATTAACGTTTTAAGAGAGAAACAAGATAGTTGCCATGGCTCATTCAGTTTACTCCCTTGTTATTTCAATTAACCCAAACGGTTTTGTTTTAATCAATATACAAGAAGAAAACTTTTAGTGAACAATAGCAATGTACCTACTGTTTGGTTCATAATAGAAGTTCCATTTATAAAAATTGGTATTATATGTTATAAAGGAAATCGACCAGTCAGTATTTGGTTGAAAACGAACATGTTCGTTTCAGAACTAGTCCAATGGTATTAAGGTCCGCACACTTCGGCTCTGGTAAAGGACCAATACATTTAGACAATGTCAAATGTACGGGGAAGGAAAGTAGCATTCATCAGTGTAGCCATTCGGGTTGGGGAACGCATACTTGTAGTCACAATGACGATGTTGGTATATCATGTTCACCAGGTAATCCTTGTAAATATATTAAATTAGATATCACCGTTAAGCGTTAATTATAAATAAATGAATGTGTTGTAAAAATGAAAATTAAAACACATATAATGCATTAACAAAAACATCAGAATTTTATGTCAAATTTTCATCTATTGATTCGTATGAAATAAGTTTCAATAAAACAGTTATTGATGTAATTGTTAATAAATTTGTTAAATGATTTTTACTTGCGTATTGATTCTTTTATCTGATTATATCCGGAAATATCAAATATAAATTATTGTTTTTAATTTTTACGAATTTAAGGAATTCGATTGGTGAATGGGTCAAATCAATATGAAGGGAGACTGGAAGTTTGGCACGACGGGACTTGGGGAACCGTGTGCGAAAATAATTTTGGTGTAGCGTCAGCAACTGTTGTTTGTAAGATGCTGAATTATCCATGGTAAGTAACAGGTTATATCACTATGTTTCTACATTCAAACATGTATTAACGTGTAAGATGTCTCATCAGTTTATTAGGTTGATCAAATACAGATTACCTCGAAAAAGAAAATCATAACCTCCAAGGATGCGATAAATATGCATTAATACTTAAAGTGTAGTATTTCATAAAGGAAGGTATCCAATACCAAAACTCAAACCTTTGATAAAACACAAACCACGAAAACAATATATTATGTAAGTATATTGTTTGTAAGTGTTAGATACATGATCCCATATTGCATATTTATATAAAGAAGAGAACAAATTGATCCTGAGCAATATATTTTAACTCCTCATATAGATAGATATCACTTTGAACTTGATCAACATATTTTTGTTTTTAAGAAATATTGCATGACAATATCAAAATAATACATTTTAATTGTTATATCAATATTTGAAAATAATAGCTTTCACATTTATACAATAGCCATTAGTCTGAAGCAGATATGCGAAACACTGCTGTGAGAGTCAGTATATAGATCACACCTCGAAATTGTTTAACTCAGTCATTAAATGAAAACAATGTAGTCCCTTCTTACACTTGCAATAAAGCTCTTGTGATAATTTACATTTGAGGCTCAATGCTTATCTTGAAAATCACAAATAAATTTTTGTTATACATTTAACCAATATTGCAATTCTCATCCAACAGAATGCTCAACATTCATGGAAAGAATATCGAGTATCAAGCAAAATCAAGCCAATCTTACAATGAGAACTTTTAAACAAATATGAAAAAAACGGTGTTATCACTCTATAGGCTGCAGACCATAAGCCTTGGATGTTTAGGTTGTTTAGTTAATTTCTAAGTGAAGTTCGAAAGTGAGACATCGTGGGTCAAAAACTAGGTCATGTTATACTTTATAAAACATTGTTAACACTCTTGGGGATGCAGTCCAAATATCGAATTTGCTCAGAAAAGTTGTTACGATGATTTCAAGCTGAAGTTTGAATATGGGTCATCAGGGGTCATCAACTACGTCATATAGCCTGTACACTATAGAGGCTACTGTTATGGTATAAATATCCTGGAAATTGGTCAGGTAAATGATTTCTAGCTGAGGTATGAATATAAGTCATCTGGCGTTAAAAACTAAGTCACACGGAAAAACCCTTTTCGTCACTCTAAAGGCAATATTTTCAGCCCAAATATCCTGAAAGCTTGGTCAGAAATATTTTGTCTAGCGTATCCCAACTTTGAATATGGAAAATTTGAAATAAAAAAACTAGGCCACACAGACTTTATATGGGAAAAACACTCGTTAATACTATAGATGTAATCATTTCAGGAGCAATCCTTTGGTATTCGGGTCCTCACACTTCGGCCTTCGACCATTTCAAGTAAAACTAGATAATGTTAGATGCAAGGGAACTGAAACAAGCATATTTCTATGTCCGTATTATGGTTGGGGAATACATGGGTGTGTGCCGGAAAACAATGTTGGCATATCATGCACACCAGGTAAGCCCTCACAGTTATATAAATTTCATGAAAAAAAACAATAAAATGGGCCTAATAAATTTTAAAATGATGTCCCTTTTTTTCGGTTTTACTCGCCCCTACACAAAAGGGTTTGGTCCACGGCGAAATGATGGCCCCTTCATGAATTTTAAAAGCAATTTCTATGTTTAAATTTAAAAAGGGAAAAGCATTTTAAAATAAACATGTTCTGCAATAATTTTTTTACCTCCAACAATTTTTAATTTTAAAATTCCCGGAAAAAATTTAAATTTTAAAGGAAAGTCACATCCGGGGAAACAAAACGTTAATTACAGGTCTTAAAAAATAAAACCCTTTTTAGCCGGGGGTATTTTCCCAAAATTTTTTTTCCCTTAAAATGGCCGGGACAACTATAACTATTAATTTTACTCAAAAAAACGGGTAAATTTCCCGAAAATTCATTGAAAAAATTTTTTTTTAAAACTTTAAAAAAACTTTAAATAATAAAACCGTTTTAATAAAATCTAATTGGTTTATCTGTCTAGGAAAATTTAACAAACTAGAGACGCTGAAAGTAACACATATTCATCACCATATGTACCTTCTCTCGAAGACAAATGAGGCCCAGTTTGACTATGCGAACCCACACCAAATGCTTAATAGAGATCTAAAGCCATACATACTACTTGATTATCTATCTTAGCCAATAATTATTTATGTACATTACATGCCAATGTATGTCACTTGTATGGTTAATTATAATGAGCTCTATTTAATGATGTCTGTGTCTATTTATGAACATTTAAAGCGAACTTATTTTATATAATTGTTATTTGACTATGTTTTCAGTTATTGATAAACGTAACATGCCAATTCATGTTAATTGTATGACGATTTGTTTTACATTTTTACTTGATGTATATATTTCATGCCAATATATATAACCTATATGGATATTAATCTTAGTCTTTAAATGTTAAGGTATATAACAAGCCAATTCATGTTAATTGCATGACTATTTTATTTCAGTATATTGTTTTTGATATACATTAAATTCCAATACATATTTTCTATATGATTATATATCTTACTTAATATCTGATGCAATTTAATAACTTAAAGTTAATAACTGATGTAGTACTACGTTACTTTCAATTCACGTTAGGATTATCTATCTTAAAAAAGAGAAAATAACAATCCCTAAAGTAAGACTTAAATTACTTATGTCTGATACATTTTTCAATGTATTTGATATCCAGTGATGCACGAACACAAGCCAATTTATGTTACTTGCATTAGTATATGTCTAAGTCAATCATTATTTGTGTACGTTATAAACGAATTCATGCTACTTATATAATTAATGATATATGTTACATGCTTCTTCGTATTACTTGTATGATTATTTATCGTATTTGATTTTTTCAAGTATGTTATCCAAAACGCTAAATATTTCTTGTATATATCCATTTAAGATTCCGAAGTTATAACGACAAAATTTTGTTATTCCTTCAGATTTTTTTTTTTCACATTACTTTCCTTTTTTACATGCGGTGACGCTTATGTCATACGAGTTTTAATATTCATATACAATTAGGTGTTGAACTATATAATGACCTTGCATCGTCGTCATAACATATTGAGGGGGGAATAACAAAACAAAAAGTGTGCATAACCATCAACTCGTTTAAACGTTATAGCTCTAAAATCTGAATTTTCACACAATATGAACATATATACTCACCATAAGTTAACTGTTATATTATCACAAGCATAAAACAGATTTCTTTCCAATTTTTGAAAATTCTGATTCAGCAATGTTTTGAAAATGTCATTTGTTATACGGCGACATTAACGTCTTATTGTCATTCAGCGGCTTACATTTCTTACACTTGTCACTTCGATATGGCAAATGCTAACATAAGGCGGCATTTGATACAAGCAGAGATATAGAGGGCTGTAGGGATGGTGCAACAGGGAGCAACCTTCCGCCAGGTTAGTGCGCCGCTTGGTGTACACCACACCGTCATCACCACAGCCTGGGAGAGATACTGGCTACATGGTACACCCGCCAGGAGACAGGCTGGAGGTCAATAAAGCGTCAAAACAACAGCTGAGGATCGGTTGTTCAGGCACGACTTACATGATATTTGACAGCAACTTCTCTTCAGAATGACCGTGCTAATGTAGCGGGGTCCGTGTTTCCACGCCGACGGCTGAAGGTAATTTGCATACACGATGGACCATGTAACACTGGAGACACGTTCTGTTCACTGATGAGTCAAAGGTCTTGCCTAGAATTCCACAATAAAGCGTGGCTGGCGTCTCAGGAGAAAGACGAGAATGAACGGTTTCAGGCTGCAAATAAATTGGCTGAGCAATGAACCGCTAAACGGAGGTGGAATCAATTATAGGTATGGTGATGTATCAGCTGGGAAGGACGAACAAAACCCTGTTTTGCTAAATAGAGGCCACAAATTGACAGGTCAGCAAGGATACAAAAAGACCCAAATTTTAGGAACAGCAAATCCTTGAACAAGCAGGGGTTTAAGTTGTGTTATGCTGTAACCAGTCCGGGAGGATCAGGTCAAAATTTAATGGATTAGGGAAACTAAACCTAAAGGGACTCTTATTGAGTGCAGGACTGGCCCCAGCTGCTTCACCCGACTTGAAATCCAATAGAACACATTGTGAAAATGAACTGCAGGGTAAGGGAATTTCAGCTCGTCATAATTCGAGAAAGTCTTCTAAGTGCAATTATTGCTAGGAAGGAGGACGAAATCGATTCAGGTTTTGCACCGAATGCCGGAAACTTAATTGCAATAATTTCCAAGGGTGGAGTACCATTTATCAGCTGGTTGACTCTATTTTCTTCTCAAAATTAGTTTTTAAAACAGGTTTTTTGCAGGTGAAATAAGGTGAAGCAGATAAAGAGTAGACAGCTTTTTTCAGGTTTGGAGTCTAGGGGTTTTAATTAGTGTTTTAAGAATGTCCTTTGGCCTTTGTAATGCTCCAGAAACTTTGCAAAGGTTGATGGAGCGTTTGCATGAAAGATTTAGATCTGAGAAACTGTGAGAAGACAATGATGCCTTGACAGAGGTTTTCAACGCTTAGAATAATATAACTATAATGTGAATCCAAATAAATAGTGAAATTTTCAACAATAATACTATTTACATTGGACACGTGTATATATCAGACGGAATGCGTATCGATCCAGCAAAAATACAAGCAGTTCAATGTTGGCCTTCTCAAAAGTCCATCGCGAAAGTTTCTGGGATTTTCTGGCTTCTATCGCCGTTTTTAAAGGATTTGTTAGTATTGCTTGGCCATTATAAAATTTATTGGTAGGATTTACATCAAATAATAATAAAAAGGACAAGACACATGTCCAGATAACATCTTTTAAATGGGTTCAAGATCAATAACATACTTTCGATGAATTGAAAGATTAACAAACCAACTTGTACTTGCATGTGCAGGTTACATTCTTCCGTTCAACGTACATACAGATGTTTATGCCACCGGACTGGGAGCAGTTTTATACCTAAATCAACAGTGTAAAAATAAAGTAATTGCATGAGCCATCGGAACTTGAAGTTCTCCTGCTAAACAAGTTCGAATTTCTCGCTCAAAATTGGGCCGTATTTGAGAAATTTCACGACTACTTGTACAGGGCGAGATCTCAGCTTGTTGCGGATAATAATCCTTTTACGTATCTTAATGCCAAGGCAAATTAACGCCACAAGTTATCATTTATTTGCTAAATTGGCAAATTACGACTCTACTCCTAAGTACAGACAAGGCAAGAAGAATAAGACGCAGACAGCTTGTGAAGGTTGAAGTATGATTTTGTGAGATGTGGCGGCTGTAAAAAGTCTCCCCGTACATTTAATCAATGATGTTATATTTTCGATTCTTAAAGATCGTTCAGCATGACATTATTGTTGTGCTTGTGTTATTTTTAGTTTCAACTTTTTGGCATTTTTGAGTTGGGTGGTTCCAATATTCCTACTTGAATAATGTTGAATCACCCTTAGGATATGTTGCCTGCTTTTTAAATTTGTCTTTTGACGTCTTATCTGTGATACGCAGGCTTCATAACCCCTGATCCCCTTTCAAAATTCCATTTTATTTAGTTCCGCCCATTGTTTTCTCGTTCAGGGCATACGCTTTTTATTACTTGGGGACCATACGCCGCTTTTCATGGAATGTGCGGCACGGTAGTGTCACATTGAAGGTTCCATGATAACCGGCGTATGAACACATCTGCAGATGTTTCTAAATTAAAAATTTTACTATTTCATGTTTAAATGTTGAATTCTGCTTAAGCCGGTGCTAGGGGGCGTGGACGGTAACTTGCACTTTCCAGTACCGTCCATGAACAGGCTCAATCAAACTGAGCCTGCAACATTTTCAATTTTGCCGTGTTGGGCTTTCTTTAATGATTCTGTCTTATCTATTTCATAACCTCAGATCCCCTTTCAAAATTCCATTTTATTTAGTTCCACCCATTGTTTCCTCGTTTAAGGCACATGCATTTTTTTTACTTGGGGACCATATGCCGCTTTTTTGGAATGACACTTTCGTGTCGCATTAAAGTTTCCATGATGACCGCCATATGAACGCCTCTAAAGATTTTTCAAAATTCTAAATTTTACCAGTTCATTTCAAATGTTAAATCCTGCTTAAGCCGGTGCTAGGGGGCGTGGACGGTAACTTGCACTTACCATTACCGTCCATGAACAGGCTCAATCAAACCAAGCCTGCAACATTTTCAATTTGGGCGTGTTGGTTCTTATTTGTTTATTTTGTGTCCATTTCAAAGAAAGTTATCTATGGTCCAATTCAAGCTGCACTTCTTAAAAGCAATTTTAATAGTCTTGTCATGCTACAAGACAAGACACCTGAATAGATTTCTTTCCATACCGGATACATATGTGTTTGCCTGTAGTTGGTCTTAAAATATAAAGCCCAAAAACAAGACAAGGTGTTTTCAAGTGTCAAAGACCACGTAAATGAGAGTTCCAAACCGGCTAAGCAGGATCGACCTATATTTAATACTTTTCTGAGGTACCAGTCCAAACTTCTACTGCAGGATGTTATGTACATCATTGACAGACTTCAACTTATCTTATTACATGATCTCCAGGATATTATCTTCCAGGCACTTCATTGTGATTAATGTCATCGGGGTTGTGACCGCACAACTTCCCTTATGAAATACAATCTATTTTCCAGGTATTGACGCGTATATTGCTGACAAGGTCAGACACTGTGATCGAAGTATTAGAAGAAAATCTCTTGTAAAGAAAGCATAATTCATACCGATTGGATCTACGGAGCCCATGAAAATATTATTGTTAGACTGTGAAACTTGCAAAGACGGGTATGGAAATATGTTATTGGTAAAAGGTCACTGACCACGTTATGCACGGGCATTTCCAAGAGAAAATGATACCGTTTAAACCACAACCAGATTTCTTTTTGAAAATTGCAAACTAAATTATGGTTTTCCAGCGTCCATCCATAGTGACCGAGCTGCAAATTTCAAATTTCACTTGATTAAAGATTTTTGTAATAATGCAAGTACCGAGTCCGTAGCCGAGTGGTTAAGGTGTTTGACTTCAAACCATTGCCCCTCACCGCTGTGGGTTCGAGTCCCGACATGGACTTTGGATTCTTTCATGTGAGGAAGCTATCCAGCTAGCTTACGGAACGTCGGTGGTTCTACTCACGTGCCCGTTCTTGCCTGAAATAATGCACAGAAGGGCATCTGAGGTCTTCCTCCACCAGTAAAGCTGGAACGTCGCGATATGACCTATACTGTGTCGATGTGACGTGAAGCCCAAAAACAAAAACAAGAAAACAAGAATGAAAACCATACCAACCGATTGGCAACGGAAAGGTTGAACGTTAACCAAATGTTACTGAAGATGCTAAGCACTCTAGAAGAGCAACAATTGTGGTATTGGAAGACAAATGTACCAACATTGGTACATACATACAATGTCGATCAAACAAGTATTGAGTTTGCTCCATACATTTGATGTTTGGCCGCCACCCACGTCTTGCAATTCATGTGTTTCTTGGATTGCCTACAGAAAATTTGACACCTGGGTTACAAAACGAGTACACGGCTAAATTTCGTAAATGCGTCAAGTCAGCATACGAGAAGGCAAGAGACGTTGATAAGCAAACGGGCGTTACGAATAAAGCAACCTTTTACGAGAGGCTAGAAGCACAGTATTACACCCGAGTGAGCTTGTTCTTGCCAGTAATGTGACGATTAGTGGGAAACAAAAGTTGGCAGATTCCCGGGAACAACATCCTTAGGTTGTGGTCAGATAACTTCATAGCAATACACCATGGTAGGAAGTCAGAAAAGAAGGGACACGGTTCAAGAAATCTAGTATTTTGCATCCTAAACTTCTTTTTCCTTTCATGACGATTGAAGATAGCTACACCCCCAGTAACCCAGAAAGAAAATTCATCTTCTGGTGATGAAAAATAAAAAAGAATTACCAACCAGTGAAATATTACCGAAGTACGTGATTCCGATGTAAGAATCGCCACAAGCACTTTCATAAGGACTGTCAACAACAGGAGCATCATCAGCAAGACCAAAGCGGATCCAGCGAAACCACAGTGTCTGAGAAGCGAAGATTTAGCGGGTGAAGGGGGCATGGATGGTAACTTGCACTTTCCAGGTCCGTCCATGAACGAGCCTGCAACATTTTAAATTTTGTCATGTTGGGCTTTCTTTAGGGATTCTGTTTTTTTTATTATTTTAATTGTTTCAGTATCTACTTACTTTCTATTGAACTCAACAGTTTTTAGTGTAAACTTTTATTAGATACTTACCTGTTTATATCAGTTAGTTTTGATATAAAGTTTTTTTCTGAAATAAACTGAGACACACACGTGTCTACTTTTATAATGGTTGAATACTTGTTTGTTGTTGGTTTGAACCAGTACATGTATACTGTTTCGGATGAGACTTTTCCTTATAGTGACCTTAGGTGATGTGCGCGTGATACTTACCTGAACGAAATAACGAACGCGTGTTCTTTAATAACCGCATATTATAGACGGTATTTGTGACTAGAGTTTATGATGGAATTTTCGTCTCGTTTAGTGTACTTTTCGCGATGTGAATTTGATTTTGTGTTTATTCTTTTGTTTGTTTGTTACGTAATGTGTATATTTGTTTGTTATTGTGTTGTCTTTTCTACTGGCTTTGTATTTCCTATATCATTTTTGTCCTAGCACAAAATGTCGAGAAGACATTATTACTAGCAAGAGGAGTATGTCATAGGGTAGTTATCGTCCATCAATAAATAAAATATGAATAAATACTGGTTTTTGTTTTCAATCTTTAATCCTTAAACGCAACTTTGGTCTCGTATAAGGTCAAACATATTCTCTCCTCTATTCCAGTCATTCAATAACTAATAGTCCCGTTAACTTATTATTATCCTATAGTAGCATGTACTAACAGTTCACATGTGTTTATATCAATGATATTTACGGGTACGGTAATGCATAATTGCATTAGGTCACTGTTCTCACTGTGTATATACGTATATATATTTTTTCTGGTTAGTGATGTTACATCTCCCAAATTTTTCATATTCTTAGTTTGTAATTGTTTTGTAAATTGTTGTTTTTAAATGACAATTAATCTTAAAAAATAAGTAAAATATAATGCCCTATATACGTATTGATAGATCTGATTTTATGTCTGTCTTTACTTGCTATTTGTGAACATGTTTTATGTTTAGAAAAACTTGAGTACACCATTGCATTAAGTCCATGTTCTCACTGAGGATAAACGTTTATCTTTAATATGTAATAAATTGACTACGATCATATTATATTATGTTATTAACTTGTTTACAGTTTCTTACACCAATAAGAATATATAAAACTATTAAATACATTAGTTTTGTATTTTTTTGTAACTTTTATGATGTACTAGCTGCAAGAAATGTATCAAATAAGCATGTTCTCATGTATCTTATGTTCAAAAATATATTAAGTATTATTGTTTCAAAATGGTAATGCTATTCTTCTTAAGTTCGATTGGTTGGAGGGTCTAATCAATATGAAGGGAGACTAGAAGTGTGGCATGATAACACATGGGGAACTGTATGCGACGATAATTTTGGAGTGCTGACAGCAAAGATTGTTTGTAAGATGCTGACTTATCCACAGTAAGTTAAAAACATTTTAAACATATTTCTGCATGTGTTGGCATACATGTCTTTAACTTAACCAAACATGAGATTGGAGAGAAAATGACAATTTGTATTGCATTTTTAAAAGTATTCTCTGGAAACTCCAATTACTTTTTCTCAAGTTTGAATTTGTTGTTATCGCGTCGGTCGTGACTCAGTGGTCTATCGCAATTAGCTGAGAATATTTATTTTTAAGTTGTAGAAACAGTAGCAGAACTATTCGAGCCACGGCTGATACTTATGTTGTTCTCAGTGTTGATCTTTTCTCTTTTGTAATGACAGTAGGCCGATAAAAATCAGACTAAGACGCATCGTCTTGTCTTTCTATAGTTGTTAAATTACTAAATAACTAATTAATTAGTAATAAATGACTAAATTTCACCGAAAAGACCAAGTTACAGACAAATAATTACACAGTAAATAACAATGTGAGTTAAAAAAAACTAAATTATACTATGTTAGACAGTGCAAAAAAAACTCTCACGGTATAAACAATTTAAATATTTTGGAAAAATGTTGCAAAGTATGAACATTTACGTTTAGTTTTTTTTTTAATGACATAAATGTTTTAACTATGCCTCAATTTCAGATATTTACTTATTAAAAGACAATTTTCTGAGAATAATTAAAAAATATGCGCCTGTATACTCTTACTGCCATTGCGCCCGTACACTCTGGCTGACATTGCATCCGTATACTCCGACTGACATTGTGCCCGTATACTCTGACTGACATTGAGTCCATATACTCTGACTGACATTGCGCCCGTATACTCCTACTGACATTGCGCCCGTAGAGGACTGACATTACGCCCGTATACTTCAACTGACATTGCGCCCTTATACTCCGACTGACAATGCGCCTGTATACTCTGACTGACATTGCGCCCGTATACTCTTGCTGACATTGCACCCGTATACTCCGACCGACATTGTGCCCGTATACTCTGACTGACATTGAGTCCATATACTTTGACTAACATTGCGCCCGAATACTCCGACTGACATCGAGTTCATTTACTCTGACTGACATTCCGCCCGTATACTCTTACTGACATTGCGACTGTATACTCCGACTGACATTACGCCCGTATACTCTAACTGACATTGCGCACGTATACTCCGACTGACAATGCGCCTGTGTACTCTGACTGTCATTGCGCCCGTATACTCTTGCTGACATTGCACCCGTATACTCCGACCGACATTGTGTCCGTATACTCTGACTGACATTGAGTCCATATACTTTGACTAACATTGCGCCCGAATACTCCGACTGACATTGAGTTCATTTACTCTGACTGACATTCCGCCCGTAGAGGACTGACATTGCGCCCGTATACTCTGACTGACATTGCCCCCCGTGTACTCTGACTGACAGTCCGCCCATATACTATGACTGACATTGCGCCCGTATACTCTTACTGACATTGCACCCGTTAACTCTGACTGACATTGCGCCCATATACTCCGACCGACTTTGCGCCCGTATACTCCGACTGATATTGTGCCCGTATACTCTGACATTGCGCCCGTATAATCTGACTGACATTGCGCGAGTATACTCTGACTGACATTGCGCCCATATACTCTGACTGACATTGCGCCCATATACTCTGACTGACATTGCGCCCATATACTCCGACTGATATTGCGCCCGTATACTCTGACTGACATTGCGCCCGTTACTTCTGACTGACATTGCGCCCATATACTCCAGCTGACATTGCGCCCATATACTCTGACTGACTTTGCGCCCATATACTTTTACTGACATTGCGCCCGAATACTCCGACTGATTGTAATTTATTTTTATAAATTGTGCCTGAAAATATTGACAAAGAAATTACGGCACTTTTTAGAATTGACACACTCTTACAAATATTGCCTTTATTCATAGGTATTTATCATAAAAAGTTCTGATCTTTACTTTCAATATAAATAGTACAATAATTATGAAATGTTTCGTTATTGTTTCTATTAAATATCCTGGTCTAAGTTATTTTTGTTCAGTTTAATGAATCGTCAATATTTATTTTCAAACATTAACATACTTGCTACATCAAGACACAGGCGTCTGCGGCTGAGTGGCGAAGATCGTTGACTCAAATCACTTGCCTCTCACCGCTTTAGGTTCGAGCCGCGTAAGAGTCTCAACATTCCTTCATGTGAGAATGCTGTCCAGCTACCTTACGGAAAACCCAACAAAATAAAACAATGTAATAAAGTTCTGATCTTAACTATCAATCTTAATATTGTACAAGTACAATAATAATGAAATGTTTCATTAGCGCTGTAGGTTCGAGCCGCGCAAGAGTCTTTCATGTCTAGTGGTCACATTTTTGACTCAATTATCATCAAATTTGGTCATAATGCTTGTCTAGATAATTGCTCAGATGAGTTTGAACATGGGTCATCTTGCCGGTTTGTGCCTGAAATAATTAACATAGTGGAGTCCTAGGTCTTCATCCACAAGTAAGCTTGAAAATCGCCATACAACCTATACTGTGTTGGTGCAACGTAAAATGCAACAAAAATGAAACACATATTCTCAATGCTCTCAGAAATAATATCGTATTTGATCAATATCTCATGTGTAAACCATTGGTAACCAAAAATATGCTCATATAACTTTTAAAAACATAAATCTTTAATAGAAGTCAGACAACTTTAAAAATGGAGTTGTCTAACAGTAAATCAAGATGCACTTACAAAAGCATTTGATTATCTGTCTGTTCCTCTAATTCAACCGCCATCGTGGTCGAAGGATTAGAGCCGATGACTTCTAATCTAGTTACTTCTCTGGCTTGGGTTCGATTCCCGGGAAATGCTTTTCTAGTTTAGCGCGGAGGAAGGTAGTCTAGTACTGGTGTAACTTTCCAGGAACGATGGTTAGGAAACTACCTGCCTATATGACTGAAATACTGTTGGGAAAAGGCGTAACGTGAAACAAACAAATAAACAAACAAATCCTCCAATTCATATTATTTTCTGCGGCTAACATTAAATATTTAAGCTTCTTAATTTGTTTACAAATGTCATGATAAAATCGATAATAATTATAATAATAATACTATTAAATTGACGTTATCATTTTAGTATTAACCCTGTTGTAAGAGACAAGGCATTTTTTGGCGCTGGAACATTACCAATACTATTAGACAATGTTGGTTGTACTGGAAATGAAACAAGCTTATATCAATGTCCGCATAGCGACTTGAGAAGCCATGATTGTAGTCACACTGAAGATGTTGGTATAGTGTGTAAATAAGGTAGTAAATTTTTTACAATATTTCTGAAATACAAAATCCATATATTTCATTTAGAACACATCGCAAGTTATTTAAAAACATAAGCAACAAAAGCAACAAAAACAACAAAAAAATTATTGTTAAGAATTTTCCATTACAAAGTGTTGATAAACATGGCACAGAACCTTTAATCAGTCAAGTCTATAAACGGTTCTAAACTTTTATGAACGGAGGGGTACTTGTACATGTATAACATGCCATAGAAAAAAGAATACATTATTTATAATGTTGTAAAATATTTTATTTCCATGTAAATCCACTGTAATATACGAATGTCATGATAAACCACCATCGCATAGCTATATAATACCTTTAGAGTAGACGCGTGTCTAATATATTAATAATTTTGTATTTTCATTACAGATAAAATATGAAACTTGACACCAATGCAGATGCTTAAATGTTGATTGCAAAAACTTTGGCGTCAATATGTAATTGTTTAAACATTTTGTTACATTGACTATTAATTCTTAAACAATGTTTCAGAGCGTGTATGGAAACACATGGAAACGGAGATTTGATGCGGATGTAATCTCATACTTCATGTTAGGCTTGTTAAAAACTAACATCATTTTTTTTAAATTCATTCTTTGCTTCCTTGGTGTGTATTTATTTTATAGGCATGTATATTTGTTTATAACTGTATGCAACCAAACTTTCAAACAATATGCATGTATATATATCATATTTGTTTTTAAAGAACTTGATTTAAATATTTAGTTTCATAATTATAATATTATAATAGGTTAGTTTTGGTTCGAAACAATAGTGTATCAGTTATGATAACAGAGGCAACTGTAGCAGGTTTCAATTTTTTACATATTTTACATTCCGAAATAGAGATGGTTATCAAAAGAGCATAATGTAAATAAAATGATTTTAGCGTGATTATTTTATGAACAGAACAGAACAGAACAGAAGGTTTATTTAGTCGTATGCATGGTACAGCATATAGACATATACAAAAATATATACCATACATGTACATGGCAATAAAATTCTTATATAAATACACATTTTATCATATCATATTTACGAGAGTGTTGTATTTTAAACACGGTTAAGTAACTCTTGCCGTTTGTTAAATGCCTTTAACAAATATAATGCGATGTTATGAAGTAAACGTTTGTTCTCTGTTTTCATAAGTTCAACAAATTTCATCATACTAGGGTCTCTGCCTATAATATTTTGGAATAAATTTCATACGTATATCTTTAAATATGTTACATTCCAGTACAAAATGAAATTCATCCTCAATTGTTAGCTTATCAACACAATTCACATAGTCTATTTTGTCTCTCAATATTCCTGTGTCTTCCATATTCGATATTAAGGCAATGCGACGACATTCTTATTTTTGATTATTATTTGTCTATGTTTGAAATTATTGATTTTCATAAGATACACAGATAACTCTAGACCCTCTTTCAATTCTTCTCTAAACAAAGTCAAACTTTGGGCTATTATCCATTCGAATTCTACATTCTGTAATAAAATTGTCAATCAGTCTAGTTTTCAGTACGTGTAAAAATACATTCATATTAACAGATGTTGGAAATAGCCAAACTTCAGCTAACCCTATTTGAGTCAGTAACATTTTAACATTATAAACCAATTTTTTTCACCATTTTCACAATCGAACAACAGTTTTCTTATATATGTTCTCTAGAATACAATTTTCACTTTTTACTATTTTTTCAACCAGTATTTTTACAATACGCATTTTCCAGTTTACATGCAGTGGAAATCGGCCTGTTTCAACATAAAGCAGCATTTACATCGACATTTTTTAACATTTAACAGTCCTCTTTAGGAAATTTTTCTATAAATCTCCAAGACATTCTTGCATTATTAAATCCCCATATTCACATGAAATAACATAATATAGATGTCGATTATGGTCAAATAAATTTGAGTTTAATTTTCACCGTAATTCCATACCCTTTCGTTATCGTATGGCAAGGAGTTTTACAGCTTTCACATGCTTTTTCCAACAGAGTTGTCTATACACGTTTGAAAGTCCATTACTAGAAACTACAAATCCTAAATAATTAAAAACTGTAACAATCTCTATATCATTTTCCCAAAGTAAATGTTCCAAGTGGTTCATTTTACAATGCCCAATTGGGTCCTCTCCTTTTTTAAATACCAGCCACAATTTTTCGGTTTTTGTTCGTATTTAACCGTTAATTTTCCAACGCATACAATAGTCCCAGATAAAAAATCTAAAGATTGCGATTGTAATCCCTTCCTTTGGCGTATCACTTAACAAAAATACAATCATCAGCAAATTAAAAATAAGGTAAATGCATTACCCGTGATCTAAGTTTACACCGAGGAAATTAAATTTGATTGTAAAATTTGGATTTCTAGGTCATTAAGGAGAAAAATGAGAAAATAAAAATCCGGCGAAAGTTATCTCCCCTTGGAAAAAGTTCGCCATGTCAGGAGAAGAATTCAGAACAATTGAAGTTCAGTTAATGTTTTGACACATGATTGTTACTTTCTTCATACATTGATCTTCAATAATGTGAGGCATTTTCCACAAATTCCTTCTTTGATGTAGTTTTATAAACCCATAGGCCATTTCTATAAATTGCTAATCATATGCTTTTTTGGTTAGGTCTATAAAAGCCTGCATATAAAACGTTTGTTTTTTAAGGTATTGTACATATTGATTAGAGAACTGGAAAAATGAAAAAACAACAGCATAAAAGTGGTGCCTGGTGTCCAGATCTTTAAAGCCAAACTGCGCATCTGTTAGACGTTCATTTGTCTACTGAAAACCACTTTTTTTAGCCTTTCGTTTGAACACGGTGTAAAACAGTTTACAAAGCAACTTGTTAATGTTATTCCACGATAGTTTTTGTATCCGACGCCGGCGGCTTTTTCAATAATGGAACTATTACACCCTGTTGACCATTTCTTTTGGAAAATGTCCGCTGTTAAGAATGTCGTTGAATAAAATTTCTAATGAAATCAATTACTAATATCTATCGTTTTTCAATAAAATACTCATTTATCATACTATAATATACACTACTTTTATTTCTTTTTAATTTAGAAACATGCTTTCCGAATTTCTCCCTGTGTTAATAGGCAAATCAATGTCTTCTTTAACGGTGTTCCCCATTCCTCATATCATTCTGGTCAAAGTCTTCAAAAAAATCCTCAACTTCCGGGATTGACCGTCATCGCTAGCCTCAGCTAGATTTTGAAATGCGAGTAGAACTAATTCCATAGAGATATTTTCACCCTTGCATTTTTACTTTTAGTACGAAAAAGATTATTCCAGAATTCGGCCGGGGTTTTTTCTACGCCTCATTTTCATTCATTTCTCTAACAGCCCGTTTTAAATTAAACTGGCCTCTTCGACTTTTTAAAAAACAATATTTATAAAATCTTTTCTACATTGCTTGATATTTGTAAAATGTTCATTACTTTTTTCAACATGTATATTTTTCAATAGCCTCTTTGTATGTCTGCAGTTTCCCGTTACACACATGGTCCCAAACCACTTATTTAATTCCGAGTTTTCCGTTGAGAAAGTTTGATTTTTCTTCACAGACGGTGACGTTTTTTTGAAATATTTTTCAGCTCTGGATACAATAAATTCCGTGTATAATTGTGTCTTTTTATCAGTCGAATAATTCGCATTTTCCACGATATCATCGAGCACATTTTTATCCGAAAAAATTTCATTCCTGTAATAATTATGTAATAATTATTCAGTTGCATTCAGTTAAATGCTTAAAGGTCGGTCTTAAGGAAGGTAAATATTTGATTTAGAACAAGTTATATGTTAAACAACTGAAGAAAGTAACGGTTTTAAGTAGTTAAACGTAAACAAAATTAGTATTAGCATTTTGATTTATATACAAAATATTAAGCTACTTAAATATGGGTAATTGCTAAAGAGCAAAAGAAGCAAACGATAGTTGATCTTTATGGCCAATGAATAGTGTTTACCAACTGTAACAAGATATCGTTGAAACAATATTTGCTATATAAAATTATAGCATTTAACGAACTTGATAAGCTTAAGATACACTATGCTCATCCTTGAGTTAATTTTTTTCACAGAAATTTATTGAAATCTATGAAATTCTAACTGAATATGTCTTATTTGAAAAACAGAATGAAAGTATGGGAAGCTTCGTTCCCTATTACAGGTCAAGTAAAGTTGGTCTTATCTTAAAAACTGCCAGTTTTTGTAATGACACTATATATAATTATTTTGTGAACACATATAGTGTGTAGAATTTCAAACGTAGCATATCTACTTTGTGTAAGTTAAAACATGTTAATTTTATATTAACAAACAGAATGTGTAGCAATTATCAATATTTTTTTATATCAAATTCGAGCATAATTTACCCCAATATTATACGATAAATGTATGCAAGCACTTCAAAAATATTTTATAGTCATAAAAATGTCAAATATTTTAATTTTTGACATGATTTTTTTAACTACCAATTCAATGCAAACAAATATATTCTTCCGAATTTTCTGAGATAACTATAACAAGCTTTGAATTGAACTTTTTTATTCCAAAATTTTAATTAAGAATGATATTTACATAACTATTTAATTATTGCATGAATAATGTTTATTATGTACAAAACAAACCGAAAGAGGAAATACAATAGTTTTAGGGATATTTTAAGTGACAATTTGGTAGTGACTTAATGAATTAAATGTGTCCAAAGATTTGAAAAAAAACACATAACATTTCATTAGGAAAAACATAATTTTAACCATTAGAAAAGCAAACAATCTTTAAAGGCGTTATTAGCGTAGCGAACTGAAAACAGACTTTGTTTGATTAAACACATTCTTGAGAGTAAATGAAAAAAATCAACATTGGCTTTAACATTGACTTTGTGGGCCTATTATTCAATCATTTATTTGATTTCTTTGAATTCCTTATCAGTTACAAATTATTTATATTATTCAATCATTTATTTGATTTCTTTGAATTCCTTATCAGTTACAAATTATTTATATTATTCAATCATTTATTTGTTTTCTTTGAAATCCTTATCAGTTACAAATTATTTATATTATTCAATCATTTATTTGTTTTCTTTGAATGCCTTATCAGTTACAAATTATTTATCATTTTAGTGATTAACCTGTCCGTGGTCTGTCTTGTGCCCTGTCCTGGTTTTGTTTGTGGTCCGCCTAGGCTCCTTGCCACTGGTTCATGTTGCTGGGTCGTATGGGGGCTGCGATCATTTAACGCCGCCTTTCCTTGTTGATCTTGTGTATCATATTAATGATATTTTATCTTTTAAACGAAACATGTTTGACAATTATGTTTGGTTTTCAATAATTTCCTGTTAATCTTATTATTTACATTTAAACTTACCTGTCATAAAGTGACATGGTGAGCTTTTGTGATTGCTTTTCGACAGGCGTCCGTCTATACTTTAACTTTAAACGACATTCCCTCATAAACCACTAAGCCAATGTCATGTAAGCTTTACAGGAAATTTCTTTGGTTATTACCTTCGATACCTTCGTTGTTCAAGTAATTGAATTCAATGCAGAATAATTGTTGCCATCGCAACGGAAAGAAATAACTAAAACTAATCTTTTAAAACACCCAAACATCTAGAGCTAAGATATTTAGATATTTAGAATGAATTATCAACTAGTGGGTTTCTACCAAGTTTGTTCAAATAAAAGCCTTGGGGTCAAAATTGAGTTGAGCGATATTAGGGCCACCATGGCTCTCTTGTTTCATTGATTTTATTCAATTTGTGTATAATAGTTAAATGAACACGAGAAAACTGATGTGTGTCTGTCTGTCATTCTGCTTATCAAAATAAATCTGGATTCTACCATAACTCAAAATGAACAAAAACTAGTTTTCTGATGTTTTGT